GCTTCAACGGTGGTTAATTCCGTAACGCCACGCCAAGTTGCATTCAATTCTTCAATGCCTCAAACAGTAAAAACCTGAAAATCAAAGTAATTAATTTCATAAATTCAAAATCTTAACACCCGTGAATTCTTATACACACCCACACAAAATTCATACACTTGAGGCAATCTAAGAAACCAAATTGCCATGGCTGGTATAATGCTGGTTAGTAAGGTAACCCAACGCCAAGTTACGTTCAGTTTCTTCACTGCCTCAAACAAACAAAGCCTAAAAATCACTGTAACAGAATTGGGAAGCCTAAATATCAGGCCTAAAACCGTTTTAGCTCAGATTTAAAATCCAGTGTTGGGTTTAATTCATATCAGAAACGAATTCGCCATGGCTGCAACGGCAGTTAAATCCGTAATGCCACGACAAGATACGTTTGTCTCTTATATGAACAAAAGCTAAAAATCTCATAAACGGATTTCGTTTCTTCAAAATAATCACAGCCATAAACTCATTCACAGCGGAGTAAAATGGATACATTTCAGGCTATGTTCGTTTGAGGCATTGAAGAAACCGATGTAATATGGCGTGGCGTTACCGAATTAACCACCGTTGTAGCTCAAATTTGAAATTGGTTTTGTGCGTGAGTCATTAGAAACGAATTCGCCATGGCTGCAACAACGTTTAATTCCGTAGTGCCACACCAAGATACAATCATTCCTACGATGCCTCAAACTTAAAGAGACTAAAGATCTCATAAACAGATTTCCTTTCTTCAAAGTCATCACAGCCATAAACTCATACACAGACACACGTGAATGGCTACATTTCAGGCAATTTAAGAAACCAAATCGCAATGGAGTCCACAATGGTGCTTAATTGCGTAACACCGCGCCATATTACAATGGTTTCTTAAATTGCCTGAAATGAACAAAGCCTGAAAATCAGAGAAACATATTTCATTACTTCAAAATCATCATATGCCATAAAATATTTACTCACACCAGCACGAAATTTAGGCGTTTGAGGCAATGAAAGAAACCAAATCGCCATGGC